CACATGAAACAGGTTTATTTCCTTAGTAAGACAGTAAAGGAAACGGGTTTCTTTCCTTAGTAAGAAAGCACATGAAACAGGTTTATTTCCTTAGTAAGAAAGCACATGAAACAGGTTTATTTCCTTAGTAAGAAAGCACATAAAATGGGTTTCTTTTCTTAGTGAGACAACACAGGAAATGGGTTTCTTTCCTAAGTGAGACAGCACAGGAAACCAGTTACTTTCCTAAGTGAGACAGCACAGGAAACCGGTTACTTTCCTAAGTGAGACAACATGGGAAACTGGTTTCTTTTATTAGTGAGACAGCATGGGAAACAGTTTTCTTTCCTTAGTAAGAAAATACAAGAAACTAATTTACTCCTTTAGTGAGATAGCACAGGAAATGGGTTTCATATCGTAGTAAGACAACAAAGGAATCAGATATAGAGGATGTAACCTGGTTACTACTTCTGTTGTATTGAAATAAAACAGGTAACCTGGTTACTACTTCTGTTGTATTGAAATAAAACAGGTAACCTGGTTACTACTTCTGTCGTATTGATATAAAGCAGGTAACCTGGTTACTACTTCTGTCGTATTGATATAAAGCAGGTAACCTGGTTACTACTTCTGTTGTATTGATATAAAGCAGGTAACCTGGTTACTACTTCTGTTGTATTGAAATAAAGCAGGTAACCTGGTTACTACTTCTGTTGTATTGATATAAAGCAGGTAACCAGGTTACTACTTCTGTTGTATTGATATAAAGCAGGTAACCTGGTTACTACTTCTGTTGTATTGATATAAAGCAGGTAACCAGGTTACTACTTCTGTTGTATTGATATAAAGCAGGTAACCAGGTTACTACTTCTGTTGTATTGATATAAAGCTAGTAACCTGGTTACTACTTCTGTTGTATTGATATAAAGCTTGTAACCTGGTTACTACTTCTGTTGTATTGATATAAAGCTAGTAACCTGGTTACTACTTCTGTCGTAGTGATATAAAGCAGGTAACCTGGTTACTACTTCTGTTGTATTGATATAAAGCAGGTAACCAGGTTACTACTTCTCTCGTAGTGATATAAAACAGGTAACTAGGTTACTACTTCTGTCGTATTGATATAAAGCAGGTAACTAGGTTACTATTATTATTATTTTTTTTAAAATAGTTTATAGCTTTTAACTCTTTTAACTATCACAGATGTTCCCTTCAGCAGAACTGCCTTGTGTGATCGGAATTTCGTGGAAACTTTCAAAAGTTTACCATTTATAAGTTTGAGATAAACAATGAAAGAATAAAATATGTTTTTTTTTATTACATATTTAAAAATATGCCTGATTCT